CGGCCGCCGCAGAGACTGTCATCCAATCCACCAGGAGAAATGCTTCCGGTGTGAGGGTTGGCAGCGGGCTCAGCTGGGCCCTCGCACACCCACACCCTGTAGGCCAGGAGCGCTTGGGCCCACCCTGAGCCTGTGCAAGGCCTCCCCAGGGGGTTCCGGGGCAGCCAAGCGGGCCTCACACCCTCTCGCCACTCCTAGCCCGCGCCCCACTACAGGGAAAAGGCAGAAGGTGCCAGCCAGACGCGCTGTGTGACCCAGGAGCACGTGTGGGGATGGGCGGGGTGCACGGTGGGCAGAGGGACCAGCGCTACCTTCGCCGGGGCGGGGGGAGCTGGCATGGAGGGCATCTGGACGTGGGTGGGGCAAACAGCAGCACCTCATCAGCCAGTGCAGCTCTGGCCCCCGTCACACACACGGGGCGCCCTCAGGGCCAGAGAACGAACACTGGAAGGAAGGAACTTCCCACACCTGGCGGGCGCTCAGGTGACCTGCTTCTGCTTTTCCTTTTAGGAGACTCCCTGAGCTCTCACAACTAGGGACGGGGACCTCTGGGGGCCCAGCGTGGGCAAGCAGTCATACGCTGAAGAAACGCCCGGGGTGAGTGCAGCCCAGGCCTGAGCCCCCGCCCGCCCCCTTGCCCGGGCCCTGGGTAAGGTGTAGCAACGGCCGTCAGACTCGGGCTTTGCTGAGCCCCAGGTGTGGCGTGAGCCCCCACACGAAAGCCCATCACGCCGGGAAATTGCTCGTGACCCCGGTTCTCTAACGTGCCTGGGACCCCAACGGCTTCCAGGCAGAGTCAGGGTGCTCCCACAGCAACACGCCACAGAAAACTTCCAGTTGCTTTCCTCTGTCATCACCCACCTTGACTGTGGTTCTGAGACGGCTCGAAATCTGAATCCGAACTGGAGTCGGAGCTGGAGCTGGAGCTGGACGGGCTGGACTGGGCAGACTGCACCCCACGGTGGGGTGGGGCAGACGGGGAGAGAAGAGAACAACCTTTCAGTCCAAGCAAAAAGAGTGGACAAGAAATCACCCGGGCAACAGCGACACACAACCGGGTCCCCCTGACACTCACTGAGAAAGTCGCAGAGGCGCCAGGCCCCAAGCACCCCGGCCCAGGCACAGAGGCGGACGGGTGCACACACCTGAGAACCTGTCCCGCCTCCGCCCCGGCCCCAGCACGCCTCGGGCTCCCATTCACAAGTTAATGGCCCTTCTTTTCCCACTGAGAAACTTTGACAAATTTCTAGAAGTTCCAGGAGGAACTCGGATCACATCGGTCCCCGTGCACCTGGGCGGCACGTCCGTCTGTGGGGGAAGAGCTGGCAGGGACCATGGCACCACAGGGACAGGAGGGGGGCAGGGACCCGGATTCTCACTCTGCCCTCATTTCCCCACTGCCTGTCCCAGGGCTAAACGACAAAAAGCCATGTTCCTGCCTGTGCTGCCATCGGCCAGCCGGTGCCCTGCGGTAGCGAGCGTGTGTGTGCATGCGACAAGCAGCTAAGTACACTGTGGCCTCCAGCCTGGTCCACTGTACCCACAGCAGGTCACAACCTCCCTCTTCCTGAAGCTGCCCACCCCGACTCGGCCACCAGGGGGCAGTAAAAGGCCAAACTAGGCCATTAGGATATGAGTGAGATGATAAGGGGGCGGAGCTGTCACACCTCCCAGGGTGAACAGGGACTGGTCATTCCAGAGCCCCGCTTGGAGAAGGGGCTTCCGGCCTTGCCAAACAGAGCACGGAGCCAGAACGGGCCTGCGTTCCTGCCAACGGGCCGCCCCGGAAGGCGTGTGTGGCCGAGCTGGCTGCGGGCCTGCACGGGCTCGCAAGGGCAGAGCAGCCAAGAAAGTCTGCCCTGGCTCAGTACGCCCACACCCAGGAGGCTGCCTCCGCCCTCTTGCCTCAGGGGACCGTCTGAAAGCTGAGCACCTGAGCGCTTGGGACCAAACGCCTCTGGCCATCTCCCGTTGTCAAGAGGAGGGAGGGGGCCGGGAGACAGGAGAGGCACCCGGCAGCATCTGCCTGGTCCTGGCGAGGCCACATGCGAGGAGACCCCCGGGGGCCCCTCCCCCTCCAGATGTCCGCGGGCCGAGGCAGCCCCAGCCCGCAGGGCTGGAGCCCAGAGAGCGACCAGGCCACCTGGGGCAGAACACTCACCACCTGAGGAGTTAAGGGGCCTCTTCTCCAGGGTTCACCATGGCCTAAGCCACTTGCTCCAGGCCCTCCCAACAGGCTCCTGCTGACGCCACCCACTCACACACCTGAGGGCTGGTGTGTGCCCCGGGGAACCCTTCTCTAGAAACCTGGCCTAGATTGCCACCAGCCCCTGTCCACTGTGGGGGCACCACAAAGATGAGCAACCCCCAAGCCCCAACGACGGGCCTGGAACCACGCAATCCTCTTGCACACAGACTTGAGTTCTTACCCCAGCTCCGAAGTCCAGGATGTGACCCTGGCTGTCCCACCAACTGACCAAGGCCGTTCTCAGTTTCCAGCCTCGGTTTCCCCATCTGTAAAAGCCGGCCTGCAGCCTCTGCTCTGTGTGAGCGTGGCCGCCACCAGCACACGGAGGCTGGTGCCCACCGTGCCTCTGACATCTACAACAGGGAATCTGGACCGGTGGCGTGAGTAGCAGGGTCCGTGAAACTGATACAAAACAGCGGGGCCGGGCCAGGAGCCGGTCCGGGGTGGTGGCCACCCAGTGTGCAGGCAGCAAGCTCAGAAATGCCAGGCCGAGAGGCCGCTCCAGCCCCGCCCTGTGCCCGTGTGCGGTGGCGGCGGCAGTCAGACGCATCTCAGACGCACTTGCCCCCCTCTCTCCTACACAGACCCAAGGGGCAGACACGGTCTCCGCCCAAGAACAAAGGTCCGAAGGCTCACGAGGAGCCACTGCAAGCGCTGCCACGTTATCCAGCGGAGGACAGGAGAGGGGCCCGCCATGCTCCCAGCGCTCCTGGGCCAGGGAGACCAGAGAGAAGCAGCCGGAGGAGCTGCAGGCTCAGCCCAGGGACCCAGATGAGGAGCTGCCAGCCACCTCTCGGCCAAGTGGGAGGTGACACAAGTCCTATGCAGCAGTCCCGGCTTTCCAGATGTGGCACCCCATGCAGCCTCCAGGGTGGGACGGCCCGAGACGGTGAGAGAAGCCAGGGACCTGGCTCTGGAAGACTGTCTCACCTCCCCACCTCACCAAAACCCCAAGGCCGGGAAACGTCACTTAGTAACTGTCCCACAACCCTGGAGAGCCCTGGCGTCCTGTTGGTGGCCCAGGTCTCATCCCTGCACGAACCTCGAGTGGCTAAGTCTCATCATTCACAAGTCTCAGGGCTGAGACTCGAGGCTCAGCCGAGAGAAATCCCCGAGGCTTCCACGAGAAACCCCAGCGCCAGGTCCAAGGTGCCCGGCCGCAAATGCCACACATCCAGCCCCTCCGAGCAGCAGCACCTCGGGGAGGCTTCCCACATGGCGTCCCAGGTGCTCACGGGGATCCCAGCCGGGTGTGATCCCAACTTCGCTTCCCAATGTAGGTCACCGGCCCTGGGTGCGGAAAGGCCTTGCCCGGAAGCATCTAGAGTGGAAAGGGGGCGAAGGCACCTGTCCAAGCTCTGGGGGCCAAGCAGACAGAGGAAGCAGGCGACAGGTTGGGCTCTGTTCAGCACCCAAAGAACCTGCAGCAGCCAAGGAGGCTACTGAGACGGGCCCGGACAGCCGAGAGGCTGTCAGCGCCCCGCCCCTTAGGTTCCCTGGCGAACAGGGTCTCCTGGCCGTGTGAAGTGCCAGGCGCGGAGCATCGCTCGCCTTGTGTGTCTCCTTAGTCCAGCGGGTGCCCTATTATCTGTGCGCCGAATCGTTACCGCTAGTGCTGTCGCCTCCAATGGGGTACCCCTGGAAGCCACACACTCGTGACGTCAGCACCGCTGACATAAAACAGCTCTTGCTTCAAGAACCACTTCCGAAGCCCAGGCAGAGCCCTGGGCAGCACCACTGGTGGCAATGCTTCCGCCTTTGAGAGCGAATGAAGATCTGGAAACAGCAAAAGGCCATGGAGCACCGGGCCAGGCGCTGCTGCAGCTGAGGGGGTCACTCGCTCACTCACCCAGCCCTCCGTCCATCCAGACGCCAAACAGCACTCACAGAGGACACCGCCTCAGAGAGGCCCCAGGGAGGTCTGGCCCCCCAGTCAGCTACCCGGCTACTGGCTCCTTTGTGGCTCACGGCTGCCCTTCCCGAGGCACCGGCTCCTCACAGCCCGCAGCCCGCACGAGGCGGGCTTTCCCAGGCCCACAGGCAGGGAGCCTGCGCTAGCGACGAGCGCGGGTGCGCCCGAGCTGCAAGGAGCGAGCAGGAGCCCTGGGTCCAGACCCCAGCCTCCCCGGGGCCTGACCTCAGGGCCAACGAGGCTTCCCATGGCTCAGCGCTGAGAGAGATAACAAGGACGGGGGTGACGGGGTGACGGGGATGACGGGGATGACGGGGCGGGGACAGGCGCCTCACCTCTGTCTTAAAGGAGGCTTCATCCTCTGAGTTGGACTCCTCCACCTCCGGGGGCTTTTTGACCTCTCGGGGCTCGCTCTCAGCCTTGACCTTCTCCCCTTTGGTGCTGCCCTTGTCCTTGACCGGCTTTTTGTCCGAGAAGGAAGACGAGGTGCGGGGCGAGGTGCCGGGGGCGCTCCTGGACCCCTTGGAGCTGCTCTTCTTCTGCTTTTTGGCGCTGGGCTTGGGTGAGTCGGCGGCGGCCGGCCGCTTGCTGGAAGACTTGGAAGGGGGCGGTGGGGGGGGCCCGCCCTTGGGGGACAGGCTCTCCAGTTTGGTCTCCTTCAAGGCCATCTTGGGCTCCTTAAACGCGGCCTTGGGTGGCGGGGCCTTCTCCTCCTTGGGTGGCCGGCCCTCGCCCAGCTTCCGTGCAGCGTCCTTGGCGCCTCGGGCCTGCTCCCGCTCCGGCTCCTTGGAGGGGCCCTTGCCCTCGGAGTCCTTGCGTGGCCGCTCCCGGTGCTCCTTGGCCGTCTTGTGGGCCTTGCAGGCTTTGCCGCTCTCTCTGCTGGCGTCCTGACATGCCGGGCGGGAAGGAAGAAAGACAGTCAAATGGCATCTCGGGGTCGCCCTGCTCCTCCTCCCCCGACCCCTACAAAGTATAATCCACCTGATTCAGACTCAGCTAGAGAAAATCTTCCAAAAAGCGAAAAAGTAAGGCAGCAGGTGAGAGTTTTAAATGGAGCTGTGCCTTTAAACTACTAGGAAGTGTCAGCAGGTCGCAGGCGGCTGCAGGCTAAGACTCCCCTCTGAATTGAACTGACATTCCCTGAGGGATTCAAGAAGAGCACACGGTGAGTCAGACAGAGAAAGGCAGCCACACGACCCACTCCCCTCCGACACGCCTTGCAGCTTCCCGCCGGGGGGCACTAGCAGGTGGGCCCCTCTCCTGTCCCCACCACAGAGTCTGTGTGCCTCCTGCCTGGTCACCCCGACCCCGCCTGGACCCAGCGCACAGCCAGGCACAGGGCTCTTTGGTCCCCTGAGTGCCTGCCAGCAACCCCGAGGCCCTGGGATCAAAGCTGGCCAGGCGGGCGGCTTTCTTATAATGCGGATGGTTCTTGAGAAATCCAGATGGCTGAGGGTGGGTCGCCAGGTCACAGAGCTCCAGCTAGGGACAGGCGGAGAGCGGCCCTGCTCCGGACTTCCGGGAAGGCCAGGCCAGGTGACTCCAACCCTGTGTGCCTGTGCTTCCTCTGAACCAGGGCAAGGCCACCTACCTCACTGGGACAGTGTGGGCCGTGGCCGACACCGAGCACTCAGATCAAGGGGCCGGGGCCACCCCCACAGAGTCAGCATAGCCTGCGGGTGGGTGCCCCGCCAGACGCCTTGTTTGCCTCCTCCTTTCAACACTCCTTTGCGACCCTGCACGTCCAGGGGTGCTGGACCAGTGCCCGCTGCTGCTGGCTGCCTAGGGCTCCGCTGTCACTCAGCCAGCCAGGCGCATGGCTGGGCCCAGAGGCTCACCAGATCAAAGCCCGCCAGGACACCAACAGCAGCCAGACTCCAAAGGTGGCCCACAGTATCTGAGGGAGCCATACTTTGCCAGCTCACCCTGAGTGCCAACGGGATGGACGAGCCAGCTAAACGCCCTGCAGAGAGGCCTATGCTTCCTGTTCTCCCAGCCCCAGTGAGGGCCCAATGACAGAGCTCGCCCAATAAAGAGTCACAGGGACAGAGAGCCCAGTCTCAACCACCTCGGAGCTACTCTGTCACCATCTTCTTGCAAATCCACAACCTACATCAGTGCCAAAGATTTGGGGACAGCCCCGGTGGTCATGGCTCCTGACACCTCTCTGGAGAAATGTCAGCCCCTGTGCCCAGCCCTGGCTCTTCCATCACCAGGCCTGTGGGAGGGGGCCCTCGCAAAAGCCCCCAGCTGACCATTTAGAGGGGCGCATCCCTTGGGGCTGGTGCGTCGAACGGGGCCAGTCCCTGGGGACTCCGCTCCCCAGCCAGCTGCTCCTCCAGAGAGAGAGACAGGAAGCAGAGATCCCACGTGCGATTCCGGCCTCTTCTCGCAGAGTCCACGCAGCCGCCTGGGCTGCAGGAGCTGGTCCCAGCCCCAGGAAGTGGGGCGACAGCACACCTGACAGGCACATCCACCAAAGGCCACAGCTTCTGAGCAGCAGCCCTTCCCCCCGGGACTCTGCACAGGCCCAAGGCTGCGGTGCTCTGAAATCGCACACTGAGATCTGAGTGTCAGGCAGATGTTCCCGACCCCTCGCAGAAACATTTCCAGAGCGAAAATTTCAATGACGCGAAAAGTCATCCAAGACAACCGGCTGACGTCAGACCGGGAGAAGCTACAGAGACGCAAGTCCAGGGGCACTGCAGGGCAGGGCCAAAGGGAACACCGTCCTCACAGCAGGCCACGCAGGGCTCCGCTCCCCTTCCAGGACGCCGGCTCCTGCCTGCCACGCTACCTCCGAGGAGCCTGCAGTGGCAAGTCCACTAGGGGCCGATCCTCCTATGGCGACAGCAGCCAGACTCCCCAGGGCCCCTGGGCTGGGGACCCTGCTCAACCTGACCCTCTCTGCCTGGAGTCTGTGGCCGGGCAACCCGACTTCGGGTCCCGGCAGTGGAGAACTAATCTTGGGGGACAGCCAGTGCCCACAGGAAGGTCCCTAGCTGGAGGAAGAGGCTGGTGCACGGCCCTGCCCGCCGACAAGAGCAGAGTGAGGCCGACGGCTCGGAAGCCAGAACTGCACAGCAGGCAAAGCGGTTCCAGGGAAGCCACCAGCGGAGAAGAACCAGCCCTGTGCTGTCTGAGAAACCTGTGCAGGTGCCTCCTGCACCATGCCACCCAGCTGGCTGCAGACAGATCCTGGAACGGGAGGGGCAGAGATCAAGGACGCCGAGCCTGGCGGATGTGCCCGTCTGGCCGGGGGCACCCGGGGGCCGCCAAGGCACTCTGCTGAGAAATGCCAGCGTCCTCACTACCTGGGAGGGCATCTCTTCATGGGCTTTTGGGTGACTTGCAAGTAACACACAGAAGAAATGAAAATTCCTACCCTTCCTAGTTTGCAACGACTTCCGGAAAACTGTGAGTGGCGGAGAGAGAAGCTGCCAAGATCTCTAGCAAGGATCCCTCTTCCACATGACCTCCGTCGGCTCAGGAGGACGGGCCCAGGAGGCCGGTGTGGGGAAGACCCCAGAGCTGCGTTCCGTGCTCGAGACTGGCCTCATGCGTCTTGAGGGCTTTATCAGACGAATCTGAGGACTTCAGAGACTGACCGGCCTTGCGGAAAGCGCCAGAAAGACCCTGCCTGGGAGACGTGGTGCTCCACCAGCACCGCTGCTGAGTAAGGCTGTGCCCCAGGCTCACGACACCCCGCAGGTGAGTGAAGCAAGAAGAACGCAAAGACGAGAAGTGCATAAACTTGTGGGGTCGGCGACGCGAGACCAAGCAGCGGCCCCAGGACAGAGCTGTGTGGGCGGTGGCCGGGTACGGGACGCACGCTCAGAGTCGATGTGCACATCGTGACACCGGCGAAGGGCGCTGGCAGCCACTCCGGGACGGCTCAGAGAGTCGTCTCACGAAGCGGGGGGAGTGCCACCCGCCTGTGGGGGCCGAGCGAAGACAAGGACGCGTTTCTTCTCAGGGGAGTCGGCTCGCTTGCCTACACGGTCCCGCCTGCCCCCACAGAAGCCGTCTCTGCCGAGAGCCGCTGTGGCAGAAAGAAGTGCGCCTGGAACAGCCCAGGGAAGACACACCCAGCCCTGGCGACCGGGCATCCCGGCTGAGTGCAGGAGGCCTGATGGGGTGGGCGTGGTGGCCGCAATGGACACACTCTGTCCATGGCCCCCCAAACTCGCGAGACTGCCTCGGGGCTCTGTCTGAGGGACTCGGCAGAGTGGGGAGGTTGGGGCAGGTGCTCTGGCCTCAAGAGGAACAGGGACAAGAGCCTGCGATCGCCAGGATGTCCTGTGTAATCCAGGAGGAGCCGACGCTTCTGACTAAGTGGCAGAGAGCAGCCGGGGGAGCACGGAGAGCTCCAAGAGCAAGATGCCGAGGGGAAGAGTCCGGGGAAGGAAGGCTCAGCCCTGCAGAGGGGGCGCCCTGAGCCCAGGACCCTCCGCTGGGCCCCGGTGCTCCCACGAGACTGGGCCTTCCACCTCACTAACCTTGGAGCCGTGGGACGGTTTGGTCTTCTTGGGGTCAGAGAAGGCAGAGAGTGGAATTGTGGGTAACATGGGGTAGTCAGGACTGGGCCTGGACACCGTTTCTGCTCCTTCGGGCATTACCATCACCTAGTGATAAAGAAGAGACAGACGTTATCAACGAGCAAGGAGGCAGGATGGACATCCGGTGGGCAAGAGGATTTGGCTTGTGGGACTGTGGCTGGAGGTGTCAGGGCGTCCTTCTGGGGGAGCAGGCCAGGGAGAGCCTGGGTGCTGAGTGCTCGGAGCAAAGCAGGCTCACAGCAAGAGCAAAGAGAAGCAGGGTCCCAGGATGGCTGGGCCCGGGTGCGGCCGGCGTGACCTCGGGGAAGAGAGCGCGGGGCCACGAAGACCGGCAGAGTGTGCAAGAGGCACGAGGAGGCAGCTGCGGCCAAGGCCGACCTGAGCGCTGCGGTTGAGAAAGACCAGAAGCACGAAGGTGAGAAGCCAGGCAGACCCCGCACTGGCAGGCGCGTGGCGGAGGAAGCAGCTTCTGCGGGACGTGAGTGTGCGCGGCTTCGCTGGGTCCCATGTCTCCTGAAGAACGAGCCCTCTTCCACCGCCAGGTGGCTGAGGCTGACTGAAACGGAGCGAGCGGGGAGGCCGAGGCAAGGGGGAGCCGCATGGAGGCTGGCCCAGCTCTCTGCAAAAGCCACCTGGCTGGAGCCTGCAGGGTGGGGAGTGCGCTCTGCCTTCATTAACTACGAGGAGGCAGGGCCTGGGCTTCTGCCAGGAGCTGCTCCTGAAAACACCCGCCCAGGTCCAGCAAGGCTCCTGTGGTACCTGCTGGAGGGAGAGAAGACTCAGGAGCAAGTCTGCCGAAGACCCGCACTGGAAGTTCACACTGATGGCGGTCAGCCACTCAGAAGGAACCTTCCAGATGGCGACGAGATAGAACAAAAGAAGAAAGCGCACGTAAAAGCAAAAAGCGAGAAAAAGACCTTTAGCTGGTAGGACACACACCATTAACGACCTCAGGCACCTGGGATGCCTTGACGAGCCCGACCTCTCATCTGAGGTGGCTGATGTCATGGTCATGGTCACGGGACTCTGAGCTGAAAGCAGGGCACTGGAGCCCTTCGCGCCACGCCCCAACCCCGACTCCAGGCAGCGAAGCCGGAGGCCGAGCCGCTCGCCAGCCTGTCCGACCACAACGCTCGTAAGCACGGCGGCCAGAACGCGGCAGACCCTGGCCGGCGCGGCGCGGACCGCGAGGTCTCAGGACATCGCCAGGCTCGAAGGCCAGCAAGACACACGCGGCGCTGGAGAAGCGACCGACAGCCAAGGCAGGAGAGGACAGCTGCGGTCTCCCGGGACGCCGGAGCCCGTCACTCGTCTCCTTCCGCCTGCCCTCACGTCTCTCCTCTCTCCTTCACAGGAAGGTCCTAGCCTGACGCCGTGTCGGGACAGTGCAGCGCGCGCCCTGCGTCTGCCCCGCTTCTCCCTAGCGGCCCTTTAAGAAATGGTGAAGTGAATGAATGGACCCGCTTGCACCTCCGGCCCGGGCTCGACAAGGACACGTCTCACCCAAGGGAAATGCAGACCCTCAGCTGCCGAGGAGGCCGAGGACGAGGACGAGGCACTGTGCTGAGGGGAGAAGCAGCCGACTGTCCCAAGGCTGGCCTCTGACCGTCTACAAAAACGGCCAAGCCACTCTGGCCGCCTCTGGGTTAGTGCCTGAAGCTCACGCGGGGAATCACAGGACCCCACGCTCACCAGTGACGCGCAGCACGGGGCGCTGTTCCCCCGACGCGTGGACGCTGTGCTCCTCCACCACCAGGTGCCGATGGCAGCCCCGCTGGGGACACTCAGAGCTCCAGACCGGCTAACACAAGGACCACAACTCAGGCCTCAAGTGCCACTATCGCATGAAGCAGCGGTCCCCAGCCTTCTAGGCACCAGGGACCGGTGCTCCTATGAGAACCTAACTAACGCCTGATGATCGGAGGCGGAGCGGAGGCGGTGATGCCGGCGCTGGGGAGCGGCTGCTTCGCTCGCTGGCCCGCCACTCACCTCCTGCTGTGCGGCCCACTTCCCAACAGGCCACGGACTGGCACCGGTCCACGGCCCGGGGAGTGCGGACCCCAGTCGTGAAGGTCCTAGGCTGCTCCTAAGACCAGAGAGCACTGCCCTGCCATCAGGCAGGACAAGCCCCAGAAGCCCATGGTTCCAGAGGCCAAGAAAGTTCCTGCGGTTGTCCCGGCAGCCGCCCGCCCGCCCCCTGACCGGCTCTCTCTCTGAGAAGCCGTCACCAAAGGTGCAAAGCGCCTGGCAGAGAGCGACGGGTCGCAGCCCGCGGGCCTCGTTCTCCCTTCCGCCCTCCCGGGCTGTGACGCGGACCTGCCCTCCCAGCCTCTCTGGCTCGCCCCTCATGCCACCTCCTCCTCCCCCGCCCCTCCGGCTTTGCATGTTTAGATGATGCACACTGAGCCTCCATCTCTTCAGAGCGAAGAAAACCCCTGACAGAGAGCGGAGGGGCACGGTCCCTGGTCCTGGGGCTCTGAGCGGCCGGGGAATGCTGACTGGACATCTGTTCCCAGAGCTGTGACTGTGGAGACCGGGCGACCCCAGGCCCGGGGAAACGTGTGGAAGGGAAGCGGCAGGGGCAGAGCGGGGCAGGGCCGTGGAGGCCGACACGCCCCCTGCGTCCTCGGCCCATCCCGCAAGGGGCAAACGTGAGGACCAGCTGCGTCGGTCCGTCCGCCCCGCCGCCCTGCCGCATACGGGTCCGAATCCCAGACTCGCCCTCCACTGGGACAGAGCGGAGCTTACGCAACCGCTCTGCAGGGAACACGTCACTGCGGAGCTTTAGAAACGTCTGTTAAAGACCCAACTAAATTAAATGAAGAGAAAAAGACTGCTCCCTAGGCCCAAAGAAGCTCAACCCAAACTCCCTGTGCTCACTGGGAAGGTGGGCCTGACACACACACACACACACACACACACACACACACTCACTCACACATGCTCACAGTCTCACACTCACACACATGCTCACACTCATTCACATACACTCACACACACCAAGTCTCACTCACACGAACATGCTCACACACCCACACATTCTCTCTCTCTTCACCACCCCCCCCTCAATGACCCCGACAGAATCCTCCATCAGAGGCACCTCTGGCAGCTAGACAAATGCTCAGTGACTTTGGGTCACCAACAAGTGGCTCTGAGATGTCTCATGTGCTTAGCCTGCACCTCTCTTGACACACACAGTCCAGCCTGCAGCCAAGTGCCCCGCCTCCTCCATAATCAACCATCTATTTGCACCAAGCTCCCCAACCCCAGTCTCCCTGAGTCCTGACACATGCTCCTGGCACTCTGCCACCACAGCAGGATCACCAGCCACACGACTCACCGCAGAGACCTAGGTTCTGAGAGCTGGCACCTTCACCTAGCCTCACGAGGACAAAGCTGCCAGGTGGCGTGCATCATTAGGGAACCCCACAGAGAGCGGCTGCTGTTTCCCCAGATGACGCGGTCCCAGGGTGGCCTTGCCAATCCGGTTGGGAGCGGGCCCCAGAGCCTTGCAACGCTGACAGAGTGGCCTCACGCCCATCCTTCTCCCACCCTCCTTCTGGAGGAAGGTGCTAATTAACCAAAGCCGACCAGGAAGCTAAGAAGCTACGGGGATAACTAGTGGCTAGTCATTCCCGGCTGACAAAGCCCCAGCACAGACTCGGGACACCTAGGACTTCGCCAGCGCTGCCAGGGGCTACCTGTGCAACCTGGCCCTCTGGGTACCTGGTGTCCACCCATGCACTGGAGGGATGCACCCTGGAGGGAGATCCCCAGGCGCCCCAGCACCAAGGCTCCCAGTTCGGGAGCAGAGATAAAAGTCCACGGAAGCCACGACAGAGCAGCCGAGCCCGTCGGCGCGCGGACGGGCGGGGGCAGGGCCCGCCCGCTCGGGGCACACTCACCCCGCCAGCCATCAGGAGCTTGTACCGGAACTCGATGGTGGGGTTGTTGAAGGTGAGCTTCTCGCAGCGCAGGTGGTTTACGGGTGGGTTGCCCTCCAGGTTCAGGAACAGGTCATAGGTGAAGCAAACCTTCCTCGGCTCCTCCTTAAACAAAGAACACGAGGAAGTCCGTTTCAGGGGGCGGGCGAGAGGCTGCCGGGACAGTCACGGGACAGAGGTGGCCGTGCGCTCCCCACGGCCGGCTGCTGCCCTCTATCTCCTTCGCTTGGCCTCCACTCCTCCCCCGCTCAGACCCCTGTCTACGCCTCTCTCCGTGCGCCTCCTTCTCGTCCATCTGATTATCTGAAATGAATTAACTTGCTATTTGCAGAAAACCTGGCAAAGCAGGCTCCACGACAGAAACAGAGGCCACAGGTCGTTAAGAATGATGGTAAACGGTAACGTTCTTGCTGACGGGATGGAGAGCCTTGTGCACACGTTCCCCTACGAAACCCCACACCACCTGCCAACAGATGGAGGGACCAAGGCTCGAAGATGCAGCACTGCTAAGTGACAGTGCTGAGACCTGACCGCAGGCTCCGAGGCCCCCGATCCTCGAGCCTCCTTCCCCAGCCCCTTCCTAGAAGGGAAATTTCTCCACGAACGGCCAATAAACACACAGAACGACGGTCGACATCATTAATCATTATGAAAATGCAAATCGAAACCAGGAGACACCACCTCACACCCACTAGGATGGCAATTAATAAAAAAAGCTGAAAATAACAAGTGTGGGCAAGGATGCAGAGACACTGGAACCCTTGTGCACGGCCAGGGAAATTTCTACGAACGGCCAATAAACACACAGAACGACGGTCGACATCATTAATCATTATGAAAATGCAAATCGAAACCAGGAGACACCACCTCACACCCACTAGGATGGCAATTAATAAAAAAAGCTGAAAATAACAAAAGTGGGCAAGGTTGCAGAGACACTCT